AAGGATTCAGTGGCCACCAGCTATAGCAGGGCTGAAATGCGCGGATAGACTGGAGCGAATAAACAAATCGGCGAGTATTCGTGCAGCTTTGCAGTGAGATGTTCTAATAAATACAGGTCTTATCTCAAAACCTATTGAGTTTGGTAAGTCTGTTAGTAGTAGAGATATCGTAGTTCAATTTTCAGTTCATAAAATATCGATTATTGGTTTAAATATGAACAACATTAGAGTGGAGTTGGAGTACAAGTCCAGTGAATGATTCGAAAATTCGAAAGTTCGAAAAGTTGGTTGGTGTTTTGAAACAATTACCATGGGAAGAAATGGATTTCAGTTCTAGGGTGAGTTAAACAATACATGCAGCAAATCAGCAGAGAATCTAATATTAAAATTTTGTTGAATTACTTTCACCTGATGTTTTTGGTTTACTGTGTTAGTGTTCAGTTGGCTAGACAATAAAGCTAGACACATGAAATCAGTACTGGAAGGGACAGAAGCAGTCCATGGCCGCTATAACTTCAATACCGGTACCATTTTTGATCATTTTCACGAGAGATATTATGATTTATTTTATTCGACTCATGACTCACAGACTCACGACTCATTCACTCACCGGACTCATAAAACAGACCGAACCTCTTAGTGCAGTAGTGTCCAAGTTTTTGATTGTTCGTTTTTAGTCAATAAGCTTATCAGTCAATATGGTCGCCCGGCCTGTAGACCAACAACTGTATTTTGTTTGATTCTTAGAAGTTTTGATCTTTGAAATCTCAATATCTATGAGATAAATAAATTACAGAATGGAAAATGAATGTACGGTTTTTATGCACTCGTAAATGCGTATCAGAAAAGTCACTCGTTCGCTACGCTCACTSGTTCGTTGTCTGATACTTCTCAACTCGTGCATAAAAACCGTACGCGCGCATTTTCCATTAAGTAATCTCTATGTCCATTGAGAAAAGGACAGGTGCTAGTTTTTTTCTTGGAAGATTCTTCGACAAAGTTTTCCATGGCCGACATTTTTTTAAGCTTTGAATTCCTGGTTAATTTTACTTATAAAACGAAAGATAACTACAAATAATCCAATACAATATCAGGTTTAGTGAAATTACCTCGGATGTCTTTCATTGAAATCGAAATCGAAATTTTGGAGATTTCCGAACTTTTATGGASAAATCAAGACTATGAAACAGACTTGAAAACTGGTAAAAAAAGCAAAATACATAAGCTTACTTTTAC